AAATAAGTTTTTATTTTATTTTATATTATTTTTTAAGTAACTTTTTTATATAATTTTTTATTTTATTTTTTAAAATAAATTTTTATTTTTATTTTTTTTAAAATTTATTTTATATATATGATGCAAAGTTGCCATTTTAGTCTTTTAAAATTAGTGAAAATGGTGAAAAAAGTTGAGTGACCATGGTGAAACGTTATATAAAATTAGATGATCATGGCGAAACATTATACGAAATTGTGTGACTATGGTGAAATAAAATCAAATTGGGTGGTCATAGTGACACTAAATATAAAGTTGAGTGACCATGGTGAAACGAAATTAAATTGAGCGGCCACTGATGAATTTAACCCGCAAAGTTTATAATGAATTTCTATTGGCGCGATAGCTTGCTATGCATTGGGGTTTGTTGGGGAATACATCGATTCAAATGTGCATATTATATTCACAAAACGTAACTTACACGTTCACGAAATCGAAACAAGATTTTGACTTACCGAAATGAAGTTTGAGAAACTAACCAATGATTATCAAATCTGACCATTTCCTTTCTTGAATTAAAACCGTGATTCTTCATATCGAACCTTGCATAAACCATATAAATTAAATTAATCATTTTCTGAAATCAAGTATTAAGAAATGAAATCAGAAATAAGAAAAAAATTAGATGCAAGTGATGCTATTGGCTGAGCTGAGTATAACTCTCTCTTTAAAATGAATTTACCCCGCATCGGTACTAATAATTTTTCGACAATCATCTCCCTAAATACAACGATCACGTCAAGCCATAAGAGCACTTCAAATGACTTCGACTAGCGAACTCAAACGAAATTTCCTCTCTACCATAATCATGATTTTGATGCAAAAAATAATCACTTCTACAAAGTGTAAAATATGGAATAGAATAAAATTTCTGAATGATTAAATCCAAACATATAGGGTCAATATATAGATGTTGAAAATGTTGTCTCAAAAAACACAACCTATGGACGAGACACAATTATTGGAATTAGTCTCTATATTTAAAGAGACACGTCTCTTAGAAAATGATAATGTCAAAAGTCATAATTTTTTATATATAAAGACATTTTTTAGCCAAATAATTTCTCGAATATTCCATAATATTCTACGCACTTTTTCAATAATTCACGTATTTAAGTTATTTAAATTTTAGCTCAATTTTCCATTCACCAAATAATACGAAATTTTCGGCAAAATTCCAATGGGGTTTAGATTCTTTATCTTTCTATTAGTAGGGACTGATGTTGATTGATTAGTTCTAGCAACTTGCTGATGTGTGTTTGTTCTGTGTTGGTTAATGACATAATTGATTGACATCAACTGAAATTTTGCTTGTTATTTGGATTAATTCAGGCAAACCAAGATTCACAACATAGGGGCAACGCTTGTTGGTGTTGATAAGTTAATAATAAGTATTATCAGAAACTTGGAGACACTCAATATGGGCAGTGCTGCTTCTAATTTTATTCTTTATATTTAGACTGCGCCTACCATTTTTTTCTTGGTGTCAATTATTATTTTCATCCGGCTGCATATATATATATATACATTTTTCTCAAGATGCTTACTTTCAAGCATAGAGATTCTTCCCCCATTATTCATTTATAGTATATATTTTCAATTAGCTTGGGGCGTATCTGCTCTCACATATCACTTATCAATGGTTTGAAATTCTTCCCTATCAAAAATGATGCCCGTTTTATGTCAGAAACATTTTCTTTTCACTTGCATCCTCGTGACTGTTGAGTTCTAGACTTCATTGAATAAAAGCATCACGGATGATGTTAGCAGTTGGCAGACATAGGTGGGTGGAATATGTTGGAGAATTTAATGCTTTAAATTATCGGATCTTTCATGTTAAACGTCAAGAAATACAAGAATTAAAGCGAAAGCGTACCTGAATCAGATATGGTTAATGCAATATGAATTTCACGGTATAGTCTTCCAAATTTACACGCAGTCTCCTTTTCCTCTCTGTGATGGGATGCAGTAGAGAATGAATAATACGTACGTGTGATCTGGGGACCATAACTTATTTATATAGGGACGCCCTTTGACCTAACTCGGCCCTGTTGGGAATCTACTTATACATGCACAGCGGAATTTAAAATAATTTTCGATTCCCACCAAGAATCGCTTTT